AAAGACTGGGGCGGGGGGGCGGGAGGAACCACACACACCAAAAAACAAAACAAAGACTGTGTGAGAAGCTGAAATGTCCACATAGGTGTTATGATGCAGGTTTAGGGGTTGTCGTAACCATGAACACAGTGTGTGACCCAGTGCTAGGATCCAGAGCCTTCCCTGGGCAGCTGTACCTAGACTGTATGTTCCTTTCTCTGCTTTTGCTTCTCAGTGTCTTTTATTTTGACTTTTAGAAGTAAATTTTAATTGTACAAGTAACGCATGCACAAATTCTCCTTGTAAAAAATTAAAGCATTACAGATAAGGCTGGGGTCCCTTTAATCACTGCCCCAACCCTGTTCCCTCCCTTCCTTCCCAAAGTATCACATAAGTGTATATACTTCCAGACCATTTTCTGTGCATTTAAATACGTTTCTGAGTACCCGTAGGAATTGTATATTGTTTATGTTTTTATGACCCAATAACATAATATGCATTAGAGAAATGTCCATTTCAGGACGTGTAAGCTCTACCTCCTTCACTGTCGTTGTGTGTGTGTGTGTGTTTATTGGCCTTATATATGTTGTCTTCTGTGAATTGCTTGCACATATCCTTTGCCCATTTAAAAATACTGTGGTAAAACACTCAGAACATGAAATTTGCCATCTGAACGATTTTTAAGTGTACAGTTCAGTCCTGTAGCATTAAGTACATTCGCACTGTTGCACAGCTACAGCTGTTACTCCCTCATCTCTGGAACGTTTTCATCCCCATATCGAAACTGTACTCATGAAACAGCTCCCGGCTCCGTGCTGCCCCCAGGCCCCAGGAACCACCGCTCCTCTCGCTCTGAGAACCTGACCGCGTACGTCCATTAAGGGCACTCATCCGTATCTGCCCTGCATCTGGCTTATCTCACGTAGCCCGATGTCTTTAAGGTTCATCGCGCTGTAGTATGTATCAGAACGTCGTTCTTTTTTAAGGCCGAGTGTAAACAGTTTCACATTGTGTCTCCATTCGCAAGTCAGTGGCTGTTTGTGTTTTTCCCACCTGTTGGCTATCACGGGTGACGCTGTTATGAACACCGCTGTACAAATTTCTGTTCGGGCCCCTGCTTTTAGTTATTTTGGGCATAAACCCAGAAGTATATGAATCAAATGGCAATTCTGTTTATTTTATGAGGAAGCACCGTTTTGCTTTCTGTAGTGTCTGTACCATTTTCCGTCCCCGCCAGCAGTGCGTAGGGGTTCCAGTTCTCCCCATCCTTGCCAACATTCGTTATTGTCTGTCTTTTTGGTAACAGCCATCCCATTGGCTATGAAGTGATATCTAATTGTGGGTTTCATTTGCGTTTCCCTAAGATAAGTGATGTTAAGCATCTTTCCATGTGTTTATTGTATATTGTATATCTTTCTATTCAACTCCTGTGTCCATTTTTGAATTGTATTTTTGTTGCGTTTCAGGAGTTCTTTATATATTCTGGATATCAATCCCTTATCAGTATGTTATTTGCAAACCTCATTCCCTTTTACAATTGCATAGTATCTATAAATATTGAGACACCCCAGTTTATTTAGCCATTTGCTTCCGGTGCCTTACAACAAACAGGCTTGTAGCGAACACCCTTATACATGTTAGATGTGCGGGGTAGATCCTGAGAAAGTGAAATTGCTGGATTGCAGGGTGTGAAAATTCATAGACATTGCCAAATTGCCCCACAGCATTTTAGGCAAAATTGAGCTAAAGGGAACATTAAAATGTCCCCTTGGGTGGGAAGAAACTGATGAAGGGCTGGCCGCTGGGTGTAGGAGGAAGAAGGAAGGTACAGTTCCTTCCCCTGTGGGCTCCCTTTGTTCAGGAGGTAAAGGTCAGACCTCAGAGTTTATTTGTGCTGGTAACACAAGCCTCAGGACGTCTCCACACTGGCCGCCAGGGCTGCCGCTTCTACACAGGTCACTGCACAAAGTTGTGGCCATGTTCAGACAGGAGTGTGGGTGGCAATGTTCTGAACCTCCAGGGTCAGGAGCCCGAAGCATTCAAAGGAATCCTTCAAGTTCACTGGCCACAAACCAGGGAGAAGAAACAGGCCGGCTTAGTTGATCTGGGAAGTCATTAAACTCCCAGAAACTGCACTCAGGTGATGGGCCCCTATATTTTATCTCCCACCGTGGGATAGGGAGTGGTCAGGATCAGGAATCGGCAAACTGTGGCCCATGGGCCAGATCCGACCCACTGCCTGTTTGTGTAAATAAACTTTTATGGAAACACAGCCATGCCCATTTGTTTAATACTGCCTGTGGCTGCTTTTGTGCTCTATCTGCAGAGTGGAGGCTTTGCCACAGAGCTTAAAATGTTTACCAGCTCCTGACCTACTTGTAATTATAATATAAATTCATAAGCCCATCAAACTTTTTTTGGGGGGTTGCACTGGAATTAAAAAAAATTTTTTTTCCAATTACAGTTTACATTTAATATGTTAGTTGCAGGTGTACAGCATAGTGGTAGACATGTTACAGAGTGATCCGCCCGATAAGCCTAGTATCCCCAATGCCATACGTAGTTATTCCAATATTATTGACTGTGTCCCCTCTGCTGTACTTTACATAAGTGACTGTTTTGTAACTGACGATTTATAGTTCTTAATCCCTTCATCTTTTTCACCCAGCTCCCCAAACCCTCCTCCTACCTGGCAACCATCAGTTTGTTCTCTGTATCTGAGTTTGTTTCATTTGTGTTTTAGATTCCACGTATAAGTGAAATCATATGGTATTTGTTCTTCTCTGTCTGACTTATTTTACTTAGCATAATACCCTGTGCTAAGGTATTAGCAACGTGATGCCATGTTGTCACAAATGGCAAGATTTCACTCTTTTTTATGGCTGAGTAATATTCCATTTTATATATGTACCACCTCTCCTTTACCCATTCACCCATTGATGGACACTTAGGTTGCTTCCATATCTTGGCTATTATAAACGATGCTGCAGTGAACATAGGGGTGCAGGTGTCTTTTCGACTTAGTGTTGTGGATTTCTTCAGATAAATACCCAGAAATGGAATTGCTGGGTCTTTGTGTCTTGTTAATAGCCTTTGTTTTAAAGTCTATTTTGTCTGATATAAGTGTTACTGCCCCTGCTTTTTTTTTTTTTCCATTGCATGAAGTATCTTTTTCCATCCCTTTATTTCCCGTCTGTATGTGTCTTTCTATCTGAAGTTGGCCTCTTGTAGGCAGCATATGGATGGGTCTTGTTTTCTTACCCATTCAGATACCCGGTGTCTTTTGATGGCAGCACTTAATCCATTTACATTTAAAGTAATTATTGACAGGTGGTCTGTAGTTATTGCCATTTTTTATTCATGTTTTTTATTCCCCCTCTTCCTCCTAAGTCCTTTTAACATTTCTTGTAATATTGCTTTGGTGGCAATGAACTCCTTTATCTTTTTCTTGTCGGGGAAGCTCTCCTTTGATTCTAAACAATAGCCTTGCTAGGTAGAGTAATTTTGGTTGTAGGTCCTTTTCATCACTTTGAATATTTTGTGCCAGTCCCTTCTGGCCTGCAAGCCCATCAAACTTGTATTTTTGTTTATTAGGCTTGATTCTACTTATGATTTAAAAGGAAACAAATCAGCAGACCCACTTAAGCTGCCACGTGTAGCTTGATGCTTTACCATGATAATCAGAGACTCACATGGAGACAAAAAACTCACTTTGGAGACAAGCAGAGGCCTTATGGCCATGGGAGGGGAGTTAAGCACTGAGTGTGGGGTTGGACTAGATGAGTGTTTAAGGATCCTTCCACCCCTGAGAGTTGTGAGTTAAAATTATTTTATTCAGCAAGAATGTTGCAACATTAAATTCATGTTGATGATCGGGCAAATAACTGAAAAGCAATTGCTTTATATAAATGCTGCAGCCTTATGAAAAATTACATTCATTCAACAAACACAAAGTGCCTAATTGTGTACTAAGGTTACCAGAAAGAATGATGAAAGAGATACAATTCCAAGGTGGACGTTACAGTTCTTAAATTCTTAATTAGCTTTGATATGTTGTGCTGTGCAGGTTTTCTGGTTAGTTGTAATGGCTGGTGAATTAAAAACTGTGTTACCTTTTTTGTTTCCAGCTTTATCCTGCCAGGAAGTTACTGATGATGAGGTCTTGGATGCAAGCTGCTTGCTGGATGTCTTAAGAATGTACAGGTGGCAGATCTCTTCATTTGAAGAGCAGGTGAACACAACATTCAGGACAGGCTTACTTAGAGCATCCTTCCCACCGAGTTGGGGTCTGAGCTCACAGTGAGGGCTGGAAGACAGCTGCATTGCGGCAGTGGGGAGAAGAAATGGCAGGATTGACCGTGCCCGCGCCTTGCCCACATGTACACTTCTCTGACATTTCAGACAGCCTTCTGTTCTGGGCTAGAAAATGAGCTTTGTTCCTGCCCTCACGATCAGAGGGGAAATAGCTTCACCTGATGGATGGAAGGAGGGTTGGCAGGATAGGGGGGGTCATAAGCACAGTTACCAAAGAGCAAAAATCTTTTCAGTTCTTGCGTGAGTTTGCACTTCAGTGGATGATAGGGCAGCTGGGTCCTCTAGAGAAGGGGCAGGTGGCTTCACCTGAGGGGCTCAGAGGTTCAGGCAAGACGCCTTTTTGGACCACACCCTCATTAAAAAGACAAAACAGTCTTCAGAAGCTGGCTTAAGGTGGCCCCAGACTGGGAGCAGCTGTCACTTGCGGCCCCAGGGCCTTGTTTGTTCCAGCCACTTCCACCGCCTGGTCCACAGCTACAGCTTCACTGTCTTCTTTGGTGCTGGCCGCCCTCCTCTTCCTCCCCAGGCTGACGGCAAGTCAGAGGCCGCGGCTGAGACAGATAAGTTCTGGGGACAAAAAGTCCAGTGCCCAGTGGTGCACTGGGACATCCTCACTGGCCACATGTCCCGGTGGCCTCGTCCAGTTTTGTGTTGGCTGTTTCTGCCTGAGCCATCAGCCACTGAACCCGAGAAATGGGGGGCGCCTTTGGGCCCCCAAAACTGTGGGGCTGGAAGGAAAAGCATTTCAAAGCTCTGAAAAGAGGTGGGAGGGCTTTCTAGCTCCCCTTATTTTTAAAGGTTATCTGTTTCCACTTTACTCTGAAGCCATGCATGTGTTACTTTTTTTTTTTTTTTAAGTACATTTTTATTGATTTCAGAGAGAGGAAGAGAGAGATAGAAACATCAATGATGAGAGTCATTGATCGGCTGCCTCCTGCACGCCCCCTGCTGGGGATTGAGCCCGAAACCCAAGCATGTGCCCTGACCGGGAATGGAACCGCGATTTCCTGGACCCTAGGCCTATTCTCACCCCCTGAGCCACGCCAGCTGAGCCTGGGTTTACTTTTTAAACATGACGTTGATGATAGCTGTACTTTCTCACAGTGCACCTCGATTTATGGTACGATGCGAAAGATTTTTCCATCTAGAAAATACTTTGTAAACCCTCCTCTAACTGGAATTATTTAGCTGCATTTTTCATTCCTCTAAACTGAGAGTGACTGAGATTTAGTTCCCAAGGGCATTAGATGCCTCCCTGAGCGATTCCGAGTAGATGAGTTTCCTAGAGTAGCCAAATTCACAGAGACAGAAAGTAGGATGGTGGTTGCCAGGGACTGGAGCGGGGAGGGGGCATGAGGAATTAGGGTTTAACGGGTACGGGGTTCCTTTGGGAAGATAAGAACATGCTGAAGGTGGATGGTGCTTATGGTGCATAACAATGTGACGTACTGAACACTGTACACTTAAAAATGGTTAAAATGGTGAAATTTATGTTATGCATATTTACCACATTAAGAAGGGTAGTCAGGTTGAGCGGAGGTCAGGGCCATCTGGACGAAGCTAAAACAGACGCAGAGAAGCTAGTGTGAAGGCAGCCCTGCAACTTCCTCTCCCCTCGGGGCTCAGTCCATGGTCTTGGTTGTGAAAATGTCTAGGATGTAAGCGCTTCAGTTTATGGAGCTGGGCCCCCCCCAAGAAGGCAGATAGCACATCCCACCCACATTAGCTGGAGGGGGGCTGCCCAGTGGTCCCCACGGGGGTGGGTCTGATGCCGCCCTGGCCTCCCGGGGCCTCGCTGAAGAATGCTTCGCCCTTTGGCAGGATGCTCACGAATTATTCCACGTCATTACCTCGTCCTTGGAAGATGAGCGGGACCGCCAGCCCAGGGTCACACATTTGTTTGATGTGCATTCCCTGGAGGTAAAACCATTAACATTTCCAATACATTTAATTCGTTTCGTGCATATTTAATAGGTGTGGAGACCACAAATATAATCTCTGTACAACTTTAAACTCAAAAGTCAGATTCAGTAACAATTGGCAGTGGGGGTGGGGCTGGGGGAGGGTCTTAACTGCACACTTTGCAGCGGGTGACTTGGAAGACTCTTCAGAATGATCCATTGCTGCAATTTGTGTTGGCTTGAAAAAGAAACAATGTATTTCCCCCCCTATTTAATATAGGGGAACACAGCCCTGGGAATGCTAAGTGAATCTTCATTTCCCTGGAACATTATAAAAATTGATAAAAATTAACTAGTAAAAGGAGGCAATATCCTGGAGAGAGGAAGTGTGTTTTGATTGCATTTGATGAAGGAACTGGCACAGTAGCCAACCAGAGAGGATGATTAGGCTGCTTTAGGAAACCTGTGTTAAAAGTTGGCTTCTTGGTACAATCAGCACAGAAACGTGTAAGCTGTAGGAGGAGTGTGGGTGGGAGAAGGATGGCAGTATTGTTTTCAGTCTCTCTTTCTTCCCCCCACAGCAGCCGTCGGAAGTAACTCCCAAACACATCACCTGCCGCACAAGAGGTAGTCATTTTCCGTTGAACTGCAACACACGAGATGGGTACTCTTTAGATATGACAGTAATTTGCTTGTTTAAACATTTTTTTCTGGCGACATCAGTTCCGGCTTGACCTGTGTGTATTTGTGTTTTGGAAACAGCTTTTAAAGTGTTCCCTCACACCTCAGCCCACTCAGTTTCCTCCAGAAGGACCTGTTTCTACTACAAACAAGGGTTTTCTTTTTACCTTCTTGAAGTGATCCTGTGAGGAACTTAATAAGCTGAAACTCATGTTCTCAGCATTTCCACTGTGGCCGACTTACTGCAAATGATCACAGTCCTCCGCAGAAGGAATTCATTGTTTTCTTAAGACTTGGGGGGGGGGGAAAAGACATCCATTCTTTTGTGCATTAGTGGCAATAAGAACGATTCTCTTTGGGGCCCATACTGTGTGCCAGGCACTGTAATATCCCATTTAAGTCTCATAGCAACTCTATAAAGTTGATGATACTGGGGAAAATGGGACAGTAATCATCCCCATTTCCAGTAAACCAAGGCTTATAGAGATGAAGTGAGTTCTCAGATTACATAACTAATAAGAATCCAAGCCAGGCCCAAGGCCAGGCTGCCAGACTCTAGGGCCTGTGTTTCTAATTAGCATACCACACTGTGTTTATTCCACTAACGCCCATTCTATCGAAAAACCCCCACAAAAACCTGTCAGAACTTGCTTATTCTGATATTTCAGAAGTTCATCTTACTTTATGGAATGTTCACTTATGGTATCCGTCTTCTGACATCTCAAACATTTCAAGCATATGTTTATGAAAAAACGTTACTAAACACAAATTCCTTTTTAAAATGTGGCTGTGCCCATTATACAGGAACCACACTTAAGGACCCGTGAGTTCTGTGATGGGAATGGCGTGTCTTTTTGATGTACGTCAATGAGGAAAAGCTATTTTCAGTTTCATTTTCAGGGGCGTTTTTTTTCCTAAAGAGGGCGTTGCAGCCACACAAGAAAAAGGAGGGTGAATGTTGAGGTCAGTGCCAGGGGGCTGGAGGTGGCAGATCGAAAGATGTTTTGTGTTCCAGGGGCACCTCATCCCACTTCCAGTCACTGGAAACCTCAGCATCCCTTTCACGGGAGACTTACTAGTAACATGGTCTGCAAACACTGTGAACACCAGGTAAATACAATGCCCGCGCTTTCGTGCGAGGTTTTCTTTTAAGTTCAGGTTCATGAAGGATGGAGAGAGTGTGGGCGGACGTTGGCCTGTGGCGTTTGTGGTTGCCTGGGCTCTGCGCACCCCGTGGACGGACTGCCCCCCTGTGGTCGGCACTGACACGTCCTCTGATCCTCCGCGGCGTCTTCTGCGCCAAGGGCCACTTGGGTTGGCAAGACTGCGTCCCGAGTTTGGGTCTATGCCGATGGGGGACACAACAGATTCTAGGCTGTTGTGTTGTCTTTTGCTTTTGGAGTTTTAAAATAATTTTATCTTTGGAAATTTTCCAACATAATACAGAAGCACAACCGTCACCTCAGACAGTTTTAGGATCTTTTCATCACCCCCCCAAAAAGACCCGCGTCCATTAGCAGTTACTCTCCACTCCCCCCCACACACACACATTTCCAGCCCCTAGGCAACCACTAATCTTTTTTTTAAAATTTTTTTAAATCTTCACCTGAGGATATGTTTTGTTTTGTTTTGTTTTGTTGTTTTAATTGATTTTAAAGAGAGAAGAAGGGAGAGAGAAGGGGCTTGTGCGGGAGGCAACCAATCGATGTCTCTCTCTCACATCGATGTTTCTCTCTCTCTCTTCCTCTCCTCCCCCTTCCACCCTCTCTGAAAAAGCAGTGGAAAAATATCCTCCAGTGAGGATTAAAATAAAGAAAAGAAAGAAAAAAAACACTACTTTACATTTGTTGTTTCCAAGTGCTCTTCAGTCCTTTCTGTAGACTCAAGTCCACTGGATGTTTTTTCCATTCAACCTAAAAAGATGCCTTCAACATTTCTTGCAGGTCTGTTGGCAACAAATTCACTTAGATTTAATTTGTACAAAAAAGGTTTACGTTTTGTCTTTTTTTTTTTTTTTTTTTTTTTTAAGGAATAGTTTTGCTGAGTATAGAATTTTTGGTTGACAATGTTGCTGTTGTTTTGGTTTATTTTAAATTCATCACTTTATAGGTATTGTTCTGCTGACTTCTGACCTGCAGTTTTTCTGTCAGCATCAGTCATTTCGTCCCTTTGTACATAAAGTGTCATTTTTTTCTCTGGCTGCTTCCAAGATTTGCTCTTTAGTTTTGGATTTCAGCAGTTTGTCCATGCAGTGCATAAGTGTGGTTTTCTTTGTATTTGCTTGGACTTTGCTGAATTTCTTAAATCTGTACATTTATGTTTTCTACCAAATTTGTACATTGTTTTGGGGAGACCTTCAGACAAAAAAAAACCCTGCACAATGCAAATCTCACCTATGGAGCTCCTGTTTTTCCAAAACTTAACTTCTCTTCCATTTCTGCCTGCTTTTGGTAGCTCTCCAGTCTTTCAGATAGTTTTGTTTTGGTCCAGATTTTATAATTGTTATCTCAAGGAGAGTTAGTCTAGCCAAGCTACTCTGCCATCACCAAAAAAGGGCAGGGACTCTTACCCTATTTTATAATGTTTTTTGCAGTTAATAATATAACATGCACATCTTTGCACATAATCATGCATTCTTCTACTACACTATTTTTTTAAAATTTATCTTTATTGTTGAAAATATTACAGCTGTCCCCTCACCTTCGTCCCTCACTGACCCCCTCCACCTCTACAACAGTTTTTAATATAGTATTCCACTCTGATAGAATTTAATTACTCTAGAAATTTCAACTATTCACATTTTGCTATTATAAATAACGCTGTAGTTATGTGCATGGTTATTTCCTTAGGATAGAAATCCCCAAATTGCCGAGTCAGCTGTGGCATCTTAGTTTTCCCAAGCTGTTCTTTAGCATCACTGTACCTCTTGTGTTTACAAGGTGGTTTTTAGTAGAATTTCCTTCTAGGTAAGTACATTGTTTCATTGTGTTAATGTTGGAATCTAAATATTAAACTTTAATAAGCATGTATCTTCCTGTCTACAAAGTTTTGAATTGAACTTCAGTCCTTTCTGGATTTTCTGCAATATTTGTTTCAGAGTCCGGTTCGATTTGATACCTTTGATAGCCTTTCACTAAGTATCCCAGCTGCCACGTGGGTAAGTACTGATCTGTGGTTTACTTGGGGTCTGTCTTGGAGAAGTTGGAATCTGAAAGGGCACTGAGGCATTTGTGTAGCTCAGGTGCCATGTGTTACTCAGACCTCTGGTTGGTTGAACCCATCTTAGTTTTAATGTGTGGTACCGTGGCCTGTTGGGGGGGAGAAGAGGTGGACGGTTTTTCTTTCTGCAGAAATTTTGGGTTCTTTGCATACACACACATATTAATCTCACATTCAAAAATAACTAATAAAAGAATGTGGGAGTCCATAATTGTCTACAGTATTGTCCCCTCATTTCCTCTGATCCATCGCACTAGCAAGTCAAAGGTTTGAGCTCCACGTTTGTTCAGAAAGCACCCAGCCTGTGACGCTTTTTTGCCTACATAAGCAAAAATAAAGCTCTGAGATTCATGATGCCACCTGTCAGTCGTTTCAGTGTAGCTCCCCTTTGACTTGTAATAATGAGTTTCCTTCGTCTCGTGCTGTAGGGTCACCCACTGACCTTGGACCACTGCCTTCACCACTTCATCTCATCAGAATCAGTGCGGGATGTTGTATGTGACAACTGTACGAAGGTAGGCCTTCCGCCCCAGATATCGTCCCCCCACTGGCCTGTGTGCCCTGACGTAGCGCCTCGCACACCACTGACCCTGAGCTCTTCCGACTGTTCCCGGAGGGTCTTTTCAGCTGCTGCCATTTTTACCCAAGGCTGGGAAATTGGCAGCCCCTGGACCAAACCTCTTTCCCTGATGAGTTTTGTTTCACTCACCAAATGTTTAAAGAAGAAACCTGAATGCCATGCTTTGAGATTGGACATGCCCTCTCCGATTTGCTACAGTCCCCTCTATCCCCACTTGTCTCACACCCCACCCGCCTTAGCTGTGCTACCTGCCGAACTCCCTCAGCAATTGAATTTCACCCTCTGAATTGAGAGAGATTGTGTGGAACAGAATTTTTGAAGACAGAATGGATTACATGCCAGTGTCAGAGCTGCTCCATTTCTCTTGCCTCCACTGCTGCTGTTACTTAAGGAATAAAAGTGAAAACAACCCACAAATAATTGGGCAGCTGAGTTGATTTCAGCAGGTAGAAGCCAAGTGCCAGCTGAGTAGAGGTATAAATCCCACCAACCGGATGGGCAGCTCTCCATAGATGCCCCCCCAGGAATTTCAGCTGAGAGATGCTGTTTCTTTTATTTCAGATTGAAGCCAAAGGGACGTTGAATGGGGAAAAGGTGGAACACCAGAGGACCACTTTTGTTAAACAGTTAAAACTAGGGAAGGTGAGCCCACACCACACACCTTGTCGGCTCTGCTTTCGAGGACTCTCGGTGGCCCGCGCCTGACACTCAGCACTTGCGGTCTCTCCCCCACCTGCAGCTCCCGCAGTGCTTGTGCATACACCTGCAGCGGCTGAGCTGGTCCAGCCATGGCACCCCCCTGAAGCGGCATGAGCACGTGCAGTTCAATGAGTTCCTGATGATGGACATCTACAAGTATCACCTCCTTGGGCATAAGCCTGGTCAACACAGCCCCAAACTGAACGAGAAGGCAGGGCCCGCGCTGGAACTGCAGGACGGGCCGGCAGCCCCCAAATCAGGTGTGTGTCCGAGGAGCTCAGCTTAGGCAGCGGGAACCCGCAGCACAGAGGAAAGGGATTTGGCATCACCAGCTTCTGGGGCCTTTATGTCATGAAGGCTTGTCCAGTGGTTGCTGAAATTCTTGAAAGCAGCAGGATTGTGGGGCGAGAGGGGTCAGATTTCTTAAAAGAGATTAAAATGATATAGTAATGAGATGTATAGTTTTAAAAGCTTTCACAGTTGAAAAAATATAGGAAGAAAAGCTTAAGATATTTGGTCTTTTGACTGAGCAATAATTGGCTCATATATCATTCCAGTGAATTTCTTCTTTTTAAATATATTTTTAATGATTTTTTTAGAGAGAGTGGGGGGGAGGGGAGAGAAACATCAGTGTGAGAGAGAAACATTGATGGGCTGCCCCCCACCAGCCCCCCAACGCTGGGGATCAAGCCCGCAACCCAGGCATGTGTCCTGACTGGGAACTGAACCAGCCACCTCTTGGTGCACGGAGCCACACCAGCCAGGGCCCAGTGAATTTCTTGTCCTTCCCCCCCGCCCCGGACAATCATCTCATTTATACAGAAAACGTGGGGAGGAAACGTCCTGGCTGGAGATCACTGAACATCTTACTGGAGCTGAAGCTTCTCTACTGAATGACGTTCTGAATTCTATTACTGGCCTCACTTGAGGCTGCTCGTTGAATTGGGTCCCAGTGCAGCAGGTAGCTGTTATCACCCTCAGTCTTACTGAGGAGAAAGTCAAGGCTTCAGGAGGTTAAGTGACTGGTCCAGGGGCAAACAGCGGACGGGAGAACTGGCAGGAGGCGGCAGTGTTGGGCAGCTGTATAAATGTGTCTCATATACCTTGTAGAGACCTTTAGAGTCAGAGGTGAGGAAGGCCCACCGACTCGAAGGGCTCCACGCCCGATCGCACCGCCTGCGTGCCGCCCCCACTCAAGTCACGACTGTCTTCCCTGCACCCCAGGTTTCCCCCACTCAGCGTCCTTACCGCTTTCTTCTTTCCTGCGTCCACACTTGCGTGGCCTGGCAGGACATCATTCACGAGGACACTGTATGTTGCCCTTTCTCAGTGGGATCAATAGATTAACATTGGAAACAGCTGGGGTGGGGAGCGGGCCCAGTCCTTGGCCTGTTTTAAATCAACCTCTTCACCCCAGCGCCCTCCTCTCCTGGGTGGGAGGCAGTGCAGGCCTGCTCGTGTTCAAAGCATGGTGGCTCTGGTTAGAGGCCAACAATCAACTACTTGGTACTTAAAGCCCCTTACATGTGACACTTGAGAGAAAAAGAGGTGCACGTATCTCCTTAATTATTTTATCTACACCCATAAACATTTATTAGCACTGTTACATGTTGGCGTTCCTTAGAAGCTGACAGATGAAGGAGAACGTTTAGATCAGTGGTTCACAACAGGGAGTTTTGCCTCCCGGAGGACATCGGGCAGTGGCTGGGGGCATTTCTGGCTGTCACAACTGAGAGGGGTGTTACTGGTGTTTAGCAGGTAGAAGCCAGAGATGATGTTAAATATCCTACAGTGCACAGGACAGCCCCCACGACAAAGAATTATCCATCCCAGGTGTATCATGTCAAGGTGGAGAAACTTTGGTCTAGGTCAAAATGCCAGTCAGTTAGCTACTGTTTAACTCTGACACGGGCCCTTAGCAAACGGATTTACAAAGCTGTCAAAGCGAACAGTGGGCCAGGAGCTCAATGTGCTTTTCCTACTGGGGATTAAAACAGGGACAGAAAGGTGGGGAATTTTATAACATAAGAAAAAGAGAGATTTTCCTTTGTAGCATTATTGGGTAGTTAAATTTCAGCATAATCAAAACCGCGTTTTGCTTACCCACACCCGCTGCTAATTTTAATTGCCTCGCCTTTTTCTCTTGCAGTCCTGAATCAGCCAGGGGGCCCCAAAAGCCAAATTTTTATGAATGGTGCCTGCTCCCCATCTTTGTTGCCTACCCTGCCAGCCCCAGTGCCCTTCCCCCTCCCGGTCGTTCCAGACTACAGGTGAGCCGCTCTTTAGAGGCACAGTCTGCGTTCCTTGTAGGCTGCTGTTTCTCTCCGTTTCCAAAATTAGCTTTTCACGGAAATGAATGACAATGTAGAGAGAGCTTTCTTTCATTTTAAGGTGGAACTTCACTATTACACATTCCTGTTTTTGTCCAAAATGGAAGTCACTTAAAAGTACATAAAATTTAAATATATGTTATGCGCATGTGTGCACATATGTATGAATGTATGTAGAAAAAGTATAAAGCAGAAAAATTTTAATTCCTTGGGATACCACCTAGATATCACCAATTAAACCCTTAAGGTCTCCCACTCTGTAGTGGGCGTGTGCACGCTCATAGACGTGCTCACAGAATGGACACCCTGCCAGTAAATATAGGTCTGTATTTTAATGGTGGTGTAATGTTCACTTGTACGGATGTACCGTTGCATCGACCCCCTGTCGTTGAATATCTAGGATTGTTTTACATTTTTGTTTTTGCCTGTAAACCTCTTTGTTGCATTTGTAAACCACCGGCATTTGTTCCTACCATTCAGCTCCTCCATGTACCTCTTCCGGCTGATGGCAGTTGTCGTCCACCATGGAGACATGCACTCTGGACACTTTGTGACTTACCGACGGTCCCCACCTTCGGCCAAGAACCCTCTCTCGACCAGCAACCAGTGGCTCTGGATTTCCGATGACACCGTCCGCAAGGCCAGCCTGCAGGAGGTCCTGTCCTCCAGTGCTTACCTGCTGTTCTACGAGCGTGTTCTTTCCAAGGTGCAGCACCAGAGTCGGGAGTATAAGTCTGAAGAATGACTGTGTCCCGGCCCCAAAGCTAGACCTGATGGCACTGTCCACACTGTCCAGGAAAAAGACAAAATCAGAGCGTGTGTGTGCAAGCAGCCCCGCAGAGTCCTTCAGCCTTCTGGTGTGTCCTCAGAGCAGGCTCCACCAGAGAGCCAGTGGCCCCAACTCAAACCAAATCGGGCTCCCTGAGCAGCTCCGCTAGTGTGCACCGGAAGGTGTTGCTGTCGTGTTAGGAAAGCATTCATTGTGTCTAGAGCGTCTTTTTACTCACCTGATACAGGTAATTAAAAGAAATCAGGCTCTGGAAGACATCTTTTTTATATTCTAATATGCTAGGTGTTCTCAGAGGGCAGGTAACTTTGTCAGATCCTCTGGTGTTTCAGCACAGATCTTTTATTTTTAATAAGCAGGCCCATATGAAAACTGTTGACAAGAATTGATGAAATCATTAAAGGCAGCAATTTAGAAGGAAAAGTGCCTTTCACTTCCGCTTGCTTTTGTAGCACGGCCATTCCGGAAAATAAACGTTCTCTAGGAGTCATAGCAACAGTTTTTGAGAAGTTCTCTTCCAGGTTTCTCAGTGGCTAGCAAAAGAAGTTAAAAGATGCCTAAAGGACACCCGCCTTTCCTTTTTTGTATGTGTTTTTCTAATCTCCTGATTCTTTATATATAGTAAAAGCTTGTCTGCCAAATCTGCCCCTCGGGGAAATTCTTTCACCAGTTCTAAGGGAACTGCTCACTCGTTGCTTTTACCTTCTGTACTGGACAGAGATGGGATTATATTATGAACCCGAGAAACAGCCAGAATGGAGTGGTCTCTGGACACCTGCGATTCCCGGCTCTGTAGAAGACCCTTTCCCGCAGAGACCCGTTTTGGATATTCTCATCTGTTTATTGCTCACGAGGAGCTCTTAAGACTTACAGGTGGGCCCGGGGCTGTGTAAGAAGACATCCCTGCCTTGATCTGAGAGCTTGAGTCCGAAGGAAGGGCACCAGCCGCGGGGCTGCAGTCTCCATGGACCTGTTCCCTCATTTGTAAAGTGAAGGGGTTAGATTCGGTGACCAGCAGAGGCCAGGCTTTTCCACAAAAAGCAGTCTAAGATATTTTTCAAACTTGTAACTACAGCTGACGCCTGGAATTGCCATGCTGTTAAGCTCTATGTTCTGAATGTACTCGTTTCCAGCAGCCTAATACAAAAACTAGTGAGCTCTCTCCCCCCCCTTCAGGTAAGTCTCGTGAGCACAGCCCAGGGCCCAAGGCATTTTGATGACACAGGAGTAGCTATATTTTAGCTCCATTTTTGTATTTGAGACAAAAGAAAAAGGGTACCAAACTCATGAACTCTTCAGAGATTTGGAATCAGACTTGTCCAAAAGGCCACCTGAGGTGAGGCTAAGAACCGTGCTTCCTCCAGTGGGGGCGAGCTGGCGGATACTTCTAGACAATGCCTCGGTGTCAGCTAAAAGCACAAGAGGCCCAGGTGACCACCCTCCCGCAGGCCCAGCACACATCCTGAGGACTGACTCGCTGCCATAGAGCGGACTGTGAAGGTTCTCCAGGCCGTGGACATCGGGATGGGGGGAGCAGCTGGAAATGTCTGATCCGTCCCTTCACTGCGGCCCCCTCCTGATTGTTGCAGACCCTGGCTTTGATGCTGAGATGTGCATACCCGTTTTACCTGAGTCTGATGGAACAAACACCCAGTTGTATGACCTTAAATTGCTCTCCAAACTCATAGCTTTGAGTAACTGCTGCTCTGCCACCGCTCACTCTTTGAAATCTGCCACTAAAGAGAGACATCGGGCATGGAAGGGGCTAATCCTGTGAACATGTTGTAAACAGATTGTTGGTCAGAGGCCAGGGTGTGAGCCAAGGTTGTAAATGTGAATGATATCTGTGCAAAGTCTCATAACCCGACTTAAAGCTGACTTCATTTTGTAAATTATCAGGCATTAAGTAGCAGCCAGATAATCTGATTTCTAGTTTTAAGTTATTTACAAAATAGCTTCTAAGTTAAACTAGTAGTTTATGCCATAATAACTGATTTATGTACTTGCTAAAGGTACCTTTTGTATCTGCTGTGTATTATAGCAATAAAAGAATCATTTTGTTAGGAAAAAAAAATCAACTTGTATTCTTTCATAATTTTTTTTTAATCCTTACCTGAGGACATTTTCATTGATTTTTAGAGAGGGGGGAAGAGAGAAAAAGAAACATCAACCGTTTGCCTCCAGCACGCGCTCCGACGAGCGCCTCTACTGGGGCCAGGGATGGGACCCGCAACCTACACGTGTCCTGACCAGGAATGGAACCCGTGGCCTTTCAGTGTGTGGGACGACGCTTCTACCAACGGAGCCACGCCCGCGGGGCCCATAATTTACTGATTTAATGTGCACATCCCCTGTCGAAATTCTGCATTATGTGATGTTAAACCTCTGCTTTTCCTGTTGGTAATGGAAATGCCAGCTCCATCTTCAAGTACAGAGGGAAGAACACAGAAGAACTAACTGGAAAAGTTTTACTTTCTAGTAGGCAGAATTTTCCGAAAGGTCAGATTGACCCGTGGCGCCAGAATCTTCCTGCGGACGGGGAGACTGTGATACCAGTGAGAGTTGGTCGGGGGGTTCATCATAAGCAAACTCCCGTGGGCCAGCGCAAGCCTGACCGCCTCCAGCCTCCGGGAGGGGCTTCTCCCTCGGGAGTCCTTATGCCGGAAGACGAAATCTCTGCAGGCCCCAAAGGAGACGGAGGCGATGGGGCTGCCGGGGGCCAGTTCCCTTTCGTCATCTCGGTGCTCCCCAATGTGGTCACAGCCATCTCTGTACCTGCAGCGAGAAGGCAAGCACAGCTCCCAGGACAGCGCCCTCCCGAAATGCGCCCACCCGGCAGCATTGGCCCTTACAGTGGGCAACGCTGCTCGGGGCACCCGGGGTTCTGCGAGGCTGGAGGGCTCCCCAGGAGAGCCACGCCCGGAGCCTTTCCACTGTGACCTAGTCCTAGTTATGTGCTTGAAAACCCAACCACCAACAGAAGCCAACAGTGTGTCCTCTAGGTCTCCTGGTTCAGGCAGGTAAATAAACGCCTGTCATAAAAGGTCTCCCCCTGCACCTGGATAAAATCCATATTCCTTGCACAGTCAGGCCCTTGCCCACCTCCGAGCTCACCCCCTCCTCCTCCTCTCATCCACAGCTTTCTGGCAACATCGATGGGATTTTCACTCCATAGACTCTCCAAGATCCCTCTCTCTTCCTCCCAGTGGCTCTTCATTTAGTTCCCAGCTCCAATGTCAGCGCCTCCATGAGCCCTTCTCTAGCCGCCATCCCCTAAACCCAGAGCTCTCAACCTGCAGGATTCTGCCCCACCCCGGACTGGGCAAAGTCTGGAGACACTTTGGCTGCTGTGGCTGGGGAGGGGTTGCTACTGGCATGTAGGGGGTAAAGGCCAGGGACGCGGCTCCTCAACATCCTCCAGTGCACAGGATGGCCCACCACAGAATTAGCTGGCCCCAAACATCAGTAGTGCTGCTGCTGAGAAACCCTGCCCTGAACCCAGACCCTTCCTCCCAGCCATTCTTGGTCAGATCAGCAAGACACTCACCAATGCCTGAAATTATTTCATTCCACTGGTCATCAGTTAATCACCTCTCAGTCCCCCCTGCACAACGAGCTCCATGAAACCGGACTGTTCATCCTAATCCACCCTCACAGCCCCGGTGCTCTAAAGAATTACCTGTTGTGCAAATGAATCCAATATGGTGGGATCCTAAACTCTCCCTTTTGGAAGAGGCAGAGGATTGATAAAATTCAGTGCAGTGGCCTAATAAGGTAAAAAACAAGTAGGGTGTCACCTGTTCACGAGCACGAAGTTGAAGGTCTGTCCAGTCACCAAAGAAACACGATCCCGGACTCGCTCGAGAACTGGGATCCAGGGCTTTGGAGACAGAGTAAGGCCTGAAAACGTGTAGGTCAGCCCAGCGTCGCCATACGTCGCCTGCTTCCTGGGCACGCTGTGCCACTTCCCAAACACCTGCACCTTGGCCAGCGCACCTGTGCGGAGGAAACACGGCAGCTCGGAGAGCCAGGCAGGGGGGTGCCCTACACACACACCCCGAGTAGTCAGGATTGAAAGGGAAGTAAAACGGGAATAACTTTTAATAACCTGACCGAGGACCCCCTCCTCAAAAGTCATCGTGGCTTGCCCCAAATTTTCATTTCAGAACAGTGATTCTTGTCCTCCACTTAGAGAAACATGGTCTTAGTCCAATTTTTTCAAGACACCATAACTTAATCGCCTTAACTACAGAAGCAGAATAGAGGCCGAAGTGTGAGCAAGATAAAAGTTAGGGTACACACTAGGGTGATTTTGCCCACTGCGGGGACCGAGGGTATGGAGCCCCATGAAAGATGGGGCTAACACAGCTTAGTCTGTAGGCTGGGGTCTCCTGTGGGCTCTTCTGTGCCTCCTACTGCTCTGCCACCTTGCAGTGGTCCCCAGCAGCATCCGCGTGACCTGAAAATTCAGACACTAGTCTGTGGGAGTGGGGCCCAGCCGTCGGAGTTCACACAAGCAACAAAGACCTCCAGGTGATGCTGAGAACACGATGCAGAATTACCCGGTCGTTTGCTGTCTCTCCTTCTAGGCCAGTGGTTCTCAGCCCTGGCTGCACATTGGAATCACCTGGAAGGTCTTTGAAAACACTGAAGCCCAGGCTGCACCCCCAGCTATTCCAACTCAATTGATCTCAGTCAGAGCTCCGCATCTTTTTTCAACTTTCCCAGATGATCCTCCCAGGGGAGATTCACTCTAGTAATGTGTCAGCCCCCAGTGGGCAGGCAACCCTGGGTATTTTTGGTGT